AGTAGTTTTAAATTCTATTTCTATTTTTCTCACTCAATTTAACCGGGAAAAGCAAGAAATCTCTGCACTTATTGTAGCTCTCTCAATTTTTTCACTCAAGACTTAGCTTAGACACACAATATTTTAGTGAGATTATACCGAAATTGGCATGGTATATATCAATTTTCTGATAAGTTGTTGATAGGCTTTGTAATTCCTTTTCTTTATTTTGATGTATGATGTGGGTATTGCTAATTTATGTGTTACTTTCATATCATAATCCTTTTCTTTTTCTTTTTTTTATCTACGTATGCAAGTTTTTTTTCTTTTTTTGTTGATTCAATTTATAAATGTACTCTTGGTTGTTTTAAAGCAATTTAGGTGAATCAAACAAAAATTATCATCATTTTAAAAAGTGAGAAAGCATGAACATATCAATTAAAGACCAAATGATCTCTTCTGTTGTAGTTATTTTAGCGCCTGGTTAATTTAACTCAATGTGAAGATAAAGCTTGTAAACTTTATGAGTTAACGACATTGCTTTAATAACAGTTTATTTTTCCTCTTCATCTTCTTGTTGGTGTAGTGCTTAACTTGAATAGCATGTAATATGAATTCAAATAAATAAATAAATAAAGTGTGAAGAGAGTTTATCCCTTTTGATTCAATTGGAAATATATCCAAGTTAGGGCAATTTGCACAGCAAGTCCATAAACAGTATTGTTATGACAAACGCAACAATTCCAAGATAAAACCAAGAATCACGACAGAAAAATAAAAACACTAAACAAAGAACACAAAGATTTATACGTGGTTCGGCAACAGCTTACGTCCATAGTTAGAATCAAGCAAAAGTTTTCACTATGTATAAAATTGAAGATTACAAGTTTCAGCCCCTCTTTGTTTATGTACGAATTTTAGAGTCTCTCTTCACGCCACTCCAAACCCTAAGCGCCCTTATATATTAAGTTACAAGAGACTAATTATGGTTCATGACCCACGAGCAAAAAGGGGTCAAAATTTTATGCCCACACAAAGCTCATCCAACGGATCATCGCGTCATAAGCGGGTCACTCGTCCCGTCACCAAATTCGAGCCACAACATCACACGTACATTATTAAATTCATACAAGCTTAACTAATTAAGTTTAAATGCATCAAAAGAGACCTAAACACTAATTATACTGTTGATCCAGTAATTTACCCAAGGGAACAATTGACATCTAAGCTTTCATTCTTCATTTACTTCGAGTGTTAGCATTATAGACCTCTCAATACATTAGTTCATGATCATGCTTTTGGTGTTGTATGTTTTACAGTATTGGCTCTATGTATTAGTTCAGGACCGATTAACTAAGTATCTTGACTAAGTCTAGTGTTCATAAATCAAATACCATGGAAGTTTAATGAATTTTTTATGGTGTATGAATTTTCACTACTTCTGATGCTCATCATATAAAGAGGGGGAAGAGCAACTAGTTTACTAACTCTTAATTTCATTGACCATAAGTCAAGTAATTGTTCTTCTATTTCTGAATACATGAAATGAAGTTATGTATAATTTATCAAAAAAAAAAAAAAAAATCTATATATATTTTTTAAGTTGGTTGAATAAATTTTGTTTGCAGAATTCAGGAAAATGGCTTGTTTATCATGGCAATGCTTTTTGTGGCATTACTAAAATATATTAGACTATATTAATGGCAATGTTTTTTTGTGTTTTTTGAGATGACAAAATTGGTGCTAATATGCTTCAATAATTGTGTTTGATTGATGTAGCGGAAGCGATAAAAGCATTCATATGGAATAGGGGTTATCTTGAATCCACAAGATAGGGTTAAGTGTAAAACATACAACTATGATATAGTGCAAAATAGTGTCGGTGTAGTGTAAAACACCCATATACTATTGATTTGGTGCAAATAACCTCCTGGAGACTTCAAAAGGTGCAAATAACCTCCTGGAGACTTAAAAAGATGATAATATCTCATTTCAGTAGAATAAATTAATAAGTATCAATAGAGGCCATGTAAAATGACCATTTTGTCCAATTTGTGTAGGATTTTGTTTGTTTGAGATAAGAATAAAATAAATCTCATTTTGTCCAAGAATGAGATAAGCTAAACCAAATAACCCCAAAACTGGATATAATAAAACCAAAACCAAATACTCTCAAACTACTTCATCTATCCCAAAAAGAGTGTCACTTTTAAAGAACCGTGACTCTTACAAATTGACCACAAATTAAAGAGTATATAATACACCCTTAACTTTTCCTTCCTTTCCATAAAAATAAAATCTTTCCAAAAAAATTAATTTTCCTTCCTAATTTTTTTCTTATTAATTCTTGCATTTAAATGGAGCATAAGCAGAAAGACAAAGGAAACATTGACATCGAGATATATATAGAGTTCGTGTCTCAGTAAAGGCATGTGTGTGTGAGAGTATCAACTAAGAAAAATATATATACATATATAGTTGATACTCTTACATACACATGCCTCTACTAAAATTCGAACTCCTAGCCCCCCTTTAGGAGGTAGGATCCTAGTACCTCTGGGCCACTGTTGGTACATCGAGATATATATAGAGAGAGGGGGGGGGGGGGGGGGGGAAAAAGGGGTAGGCCAAACATGCCATCATTTTTGTTTGTTTGGAGTAAATAAATAAATAATTTGACACAAACAAATAAAAAGTTTTTTTTTCTAGAAAAAATAAATTGTTTGATATAACGATACAAAAAGAAAATAAAAGGAAAAGTAGTAGTTTTGAAGAAAGAAAAAGAGAGAGGGGGCGTAAGGAAATGTGTTGGGGTTTATGCATATTTCGTTAGGGGCAAAATAGGAAGAAAAAAAAAGGGTAAAATCGGGTTTTCATATTTATTTTTGCCAAAAAGTGGTCAGAAGGACTTATTTGCACATTTTTTTAATTTTATAGACTAAAATACACATTTTAAAAAATGAGGGATGTATTATGCGCATAACCTAATACATCCCTCCTTTTTGAAAATGAGGGATGTATTCTGCACATTTTCCAACTACACAAAACTGGTGCTGCACATCTTTAACTACACGTGCAACAATAAAATTTTGTTCACATCTAATTTCTTTTTTGGCTGAATTGAATTTCTTAACTTTATCATCTTCAATTACAAGAGGTGAAACAATAATATTTTTTCTCACAATCAATCTTTTGAGATTCACTAATTGCTTTTATAAAATTATCATTATTCTCGATGCCATCGTTAATAAACTGTCTCTCTTTCTTGCAATTTTGATATTGTTGATACAACATCTGCTGATAACTTGGCAGTAAAAATTTAGCAATCAAAACCATAATTGTCCAAATTGTTTTTCGTGCCTCTTACAGTTAGTCTTTACCTGTTCCCACCAAGCTAAAGCACCCTTTTTAAGCATGATTGCTACAAGAGAAACTTACTTGTGTTTGGGCATGTCAAAATACTCGAGAAAGTAATCAACTTCATTAAGCCAATCCAAGACATCCTCAGCGCAAAAACTATAAGTAAAAGTAACTAAATCAAGTTTTTTCTAAAAATTACGATTGTCTAAATACCTATAGTTTCTGTCACCTCGACCTACCGCAAGTTCTCTAAATCTATAATTCTCATCATCAAAAGAATCTGCATAGGCTGGAGCTTACGTGGATTATACATGAACATAATCCATATTCGGTTGGCTACGAAATACATTATCAGCGCAAACATGAACTAAACCACGACCCCACTTGCTACCAATCCAAAAATTAGTTGCTACGAACTATTCTTGAGTATGTATGGCTGCCCAAGGGCCTGCACTCTACAATCATAGCCAGCAAAGTGGGTGCTACCAAAACGAGTAATTGTCATCAACCTAGGGGTAAATCAAGGCTCTAACACCAACTGACATAGCGAAAGTGATAAAAGCGTTCACATGGAACTGGATTATCTTGAATCAATAAGATTTTATTTTTTTATTTAACACCCACTTTGCTCTTTTAGAGATTTAAACCATCACCATTCACTTTGGTACCTTGAATCCCACAAGGAAAAAAAAAATTCACAAAGAAATATGATATTTTATTGATAAAATTGATTGATTATTATGCTTTTGTAGTACATCATATTTATAAAAAAAAAAAAATAAGGTCCTAAAACTGTAAAGGAAACTAATAGCAAAAAGAAAATAATTACTTCAAGGAAACCAAAAATATAAAGAAACTACCCAAAATTAAACTCTTCCTAAAAATAAATAAAAATATAAAATAAGACCAATATCAAAACAATTAGGTAATCATCAAGCACATAATCAATTAGGTAATCAGAAAATATCTAAACACTTAGGTAATCATCAAGCACATAATACAAGAGGTTAAATAATAAATAAATAAATAAACTGAAAAGAATTCTAATAAATAAATAATCCATGAATAAATAATAAATCATCAAACTCAAATAAAATACAACTCCAAAATCCACTAAAAACAAGGACCCCTTGATGTAGTCTAGTGACGTGGCGTCTTCCTATTAGCTGCTTGTGACTCTGTGACGTCCTCCACACACTATAAATACACACATGCTGTCAGTAGTAAACACCAACTGACCAACACATCATCCTTCTTCTTCGACCGCTTAACCCAAATCAATAAACTCATTCATATATATATAGACACATGTGCTTGAAAGAAATCGATTCTAATATAAGCCTCGCTCTCGGATTCCATCTTCAATCCCTTCAAAGTTCAGTGTCAATTTCTACGTTCTTTCTTCAATCTTTGGTGCAACATTCAATTCGTCACAAGTCGTTCGGTCTTTTGAATATATAGTTAAGAATTAAATGTATTGTGATCAAAATATTTTCGGCTTCTACCAGGTGTTTGATGCATTTGATTCCTCAGTCTGCTCAATTACATGTGTATATATATATAATATATGTAATATGTTTGTGTGTATATCTCCTTTGTTCTTGGTTATCTGCACGAAGGAACCATTTTTGTTGAGGGATGATTTTTTTGGCCAGGTAACTGTTCGATGAAATGCCTAAATAGAAATATAGTTCAAGATTCCTGGAAAGAAATTAGTTTCTTTCTTTTGTTATCACACGTTATTCAGTCCACTGGGACTCATAAACTCTTCTCCTTTCTGAACACAGATTTATAACTGAGTTTTCAGAAAACAACAACCAAAATTTTGGTACTGTTTTCTGATCTGAAAACATAAATTTAATTTTGGTACTGTTTTCTGATCTGAAAACATAAAATTGTTGTCGAAAACTGAACCAAACAGGCCAAGTCTTTTGATACTCTTTCCTTTATTTAATATATTTCTTGCAAACATTGGGAACACCCGAAAAAGGAGAACCAGAAATTTTCTACAACTTTTCAATTCTCAGCAACTTTCCTTTATTTTCATGTACTTTGGTTTTCTCATTGAGGAGAAATAAATTCTATATAACGCCTTGTAATTGCTAAGGTTTGATAACTAGTTGAAGAGATTGTTTTACATCAACTAAAAGTTTGCTTTTCAATTCTCCTTTCTCTTGTTGTTCTTTTTATACTGACATGCTGATTTTCATTACAGAAATACTTTGATATCAAGTCAAATTAGTGAATTCTACAAAAATTATAGATATAATCTCTCTATCTATATTTTTTTTATTGATAATTAATGATGTAATCTTAAGGAGGAAATACAGAAAGGGAGCCATTGGCATTGTTTTGCACTTGTTGTCATGCATCATGCTTAATGCCAAACTTTTTACTGTTACACCAAGCTGCCCAAGCAATAACCAGTCCCAGAACCATGTGTAGGCCGGTTTCACATTAGATGATGCCTTAGTAATATATATAGATATATATATACAGATATATATATTCTATGAGGCATTTCCTGTTAGTACTTATTTTATTTGTATAGTTTCTTCTCCTGTGCTTAGTTATTCCATTAATTTCTACTGCTAAAATTTTGAAGTGGGGCTCTATGCTACAGTTCTTTCATAGATTAATTGTTAGTGGCCTCTGCATTTTTTAAATATAATACATCTTTTTTCTTTTCTTTTCTTTTTTTTTTCACTTTTCTGACCCTCTTTATATTCTTTTTATTCAGAGGATAATTCAATCACAAAACTGATGATGAAAAGATTAAATATTGTAGTACTTTTAGTACTACTTCTCTCTGCAATTTCATCTGCTACTCAGGAGGTATCTGTATCCTGCATGATGCTTTACGACGAAGGTGGTGCTCCTGCTGTTTTTGAGTCTCCTGAGTGCTCCCAATGGGTCATCTCCCCTGAATCTCTTAGAAATCAAGCTGCTAATTGTCAGTTTGCCACACTTCAGGGGCACAGGGAATATCAAGAGGATCGTATTGCATGCAATCTTGAAATGAAGATACCGTTTGTTGGTACTCTCTCTCTCACACACACACACACTAGATAAAAAATAATGAAAAATAACATAAAAAATTCAATCTGGAAGCACATATCTCTCACACACACACTAGATAAAAAATAATGAAATATGACATAAAAAATTCAATCTGGAAACACATAATAAATTCGGTTAGAATATTTTCTAGCAATATATATGACATATTTGTTACGTAATAAAAAAATATGTTGTAAATGGTAAAAGACTTGAGTAATAATGTTTCATATGAGCATAAAGCAAGCAAAATTTATGAAGCCTGGTGTGGATGCAGGCAAAAATGGGACCAAGGAGGTGATGGTTGGTATAGCAGCAATATTTGATGGTCATAGTGGTGCTGAGGCTAGTGAGATGGCTTCAAAATGTTTCCTGGATTATTTTTACCTGCATGTTGTATTCAATGCATACAAGCAAGCGTTATCCTACCAGGAAGAACATGGTTTGCGTATTTCAAATTCAGAAAGGTATCTCTTCAAGTGCTTGATTATTATAAGTATAAATAGAAAATTTAGAAGTCTGAACCTTTTTATTGTCAAAAGGTGTACTGTTTCCGTTTTTGTATGTCATTGCAGACTCATCTCAAAAAGTCCGTTTTAGTTTCTTTTAAAATGTAAATGAAGATATCCATATCATCTAGAACGTAGCCATGTTCCTGCAATTTTCCTGGTCATTCACTTAATATGTTAAAATTTCTTGTACTTATTTCTGTATTATTTATAACCAGTACTGCATCAAAAATCATGATACACTCTTTTACTTTTGTTATGTTATTTTTTTACTATTATTAGTTTTTTTTTCTGTATATTGTATTCTGGGTGTTTGATACATGATATTATCATCTAAAACTGCCATTTGAGTTTATATACGAGTAATTCATGATATGCTATTGAGATGGAAAGGCTTGTGCATGGAACAGTTATAAGGGATTTTTACCAGCAAACGATGATGAATCAATAAAGAGAATTTTGAAGGAAGCGTTGTTGAGGACAATCCAGGATATTGATTTAAAATTTTCTCTGGTAAGCATCTCTCTCCTCATTTGTATACTGTGTCCTGCACTTCTTAAAATTTGCTCTCATTGTCTTGTTTCCCATTCATTCAATTATTTACAGGAGGCTTTCAGTAACAGATATTTTTCGGGATCTACTGCCACCGTTGCTGTTTTGGTAGATGGTCAAATTTTAGTTGCCAATGTTGGTGACTCAAAGGCACTTTTATGCTCAAGGAGAACTGAGTCTCTGCTGGAGCCAGAAGGTCTTCTTATTCTTTTGGCTATTATTAAGTCCTATTGTTCCATTCATCTTTTCTTGCAATTTATTAGACACTGGTCGTATGAAAAGTAAAATTGTTTTTATATTTTGCATCAAGAATGATATGGCAGGACGACCATTTATATACTTTTTCCGGGGTTGGATTTATTATGCATCTAATGTTGTGATCTGAGTCAATGCTTATCACTTCAGAAACGACAGGTACATCAATGGGGAAACTTCATGCTGTAGAACTGACCAGAGATCATCATCCAGATAGAGATGATGAAAGAGCCCGAATAGAAGCCGCTGGTGGTCATGTTCGTGTGTGGGGCGTGCCTCGTGTCAATGGTATATTAGCCATGTCCCGCTCTATTGGTGATATATATTTGAAAAGGTTAGTTTTCCTACCCTAACCGTTAGCCGTCATATATCATAGTAATTTTGAGATGGAGAATTTATTCTCATCTCCTTCTGCTGATTATTATTAGGTACGGTGTTATTGCTACACCTGAATTGAAGGGTTGGCAACCTTTAACTGCCAACGACGTTTATTTGGTAATTGCATCTGATGGCATATTCGAAAGTTTGAAACCAGATGATGTTTGTCATCTTTTAAGCGACAAAAACTCATCCTCACGTTTGAGCTCATCCTCATTGGCGGACTGCATTGTGAAGAAGGCCTTTAAGAAAGGCAGCACAGATAACCTGACAGCTATAGTGGTTCCACTCAGATCAACTGCTTTTTCACAAGATCCTCCGGCAACAAAAGAGATGATGTGATTTGTGGAGAAATACTGATTTCCTTCGCTTTTAGCACTTCCACTGCAATCTCCAAATATCCACTTACCATTTTTTTTTTTCTCGTTTGCTCTGAAACACTAGATTAGAAGGCGTTTGATTTGGTACAATACTTAAGAGGCTTAGAGTATATAGTTTTTGTTAGAACGTTGTGGGTAGAAATATATTATATATTCAAATCTTCTACTGATTTTTTAGCTTTGTGATTGCTAATAAACCAGGGCCTTTGATTTGTTGTTGTTAGGACATCATCATATTCACGGAAGTCTGCCTGCTCAACACGCATACAAATAGAACTAGAAATGCAACTCAAACTCAAATCTCAACTCCAGCTTTAACCCAAGCTTCCCACTCAACTCAAATCCAAGCCATGAACCTTGGGCTGTTGGATGTGAAAAAATTCTAAAAGTGAGGGTAAATTTTCAAACCACCAAAAAAGGAATAATGCTTGAAAATGCCCAATGAATATCATATTCATTCATTTATAATAAAGAATATCATATTCATTAATTTATAATAAATTAAAACTTAAAAGGGTAAAAAAAAAAGATTTTGAACATGATTCTAGAATATACATTGTATAGTAAAGTTAATATTCAAGTTCTGGGATGATCCCAAGTTAAAATAAAATAAAAAATTCAACCAGACCTCAACCTTAATTGTAAAAATAATTATCAAACCCGTCGGGTCAATTTGCACCCATGACTAAACATATCCATGCAAAAAAAATAAACCTCCATCCATCAAAAAAACATTGCAGACAAATGGAAATAAAAAGAAAGACCAATTCCAAATAATGAGCCGCTGGACAAGACATGGCCTCCAATGCAGAACAGAATAACAATTGATTATGACGATGTCATCGACGTAATAAAGGACACCGCAGATGAATGGCAGGGAAAAAAGAGCTTTATTTGATATCATAGTTCCGGCAGTGGTTCACAATCATTCTATACTTCAGAACTATAATAATAATTTAAAATATATATTATCACTTGTTATCACAGTTCCGGTAGTCGTTCACAATCATTTTACACTTCAGAACTATAACATAAAAACAATTTTAAATACAAATATATTAATAAAATGTTAAAAAGAAGCACACGAGAATAAAAATGGCATTAAATTTATAGGATCGCTTCAACAAATTCCGCCCAATAACACAGACGTCGACTAAAAGGATACCAGTGCAACAGCTTGACTAAACGGTATGCTCCAAGGGCACCTACCAACTGAAAATTTTAGGCATTCCCGGTAGTTCCCCATGTTCTCAGTGTTCATATTTCATAAAGATTTTCTGTAAAGCATCCTGATTCTGTTGAGGGAATTTCTCTTCAATGCAGCGACAATAAACTCTGCAACAGGTTCGCTAAGCAACAGAGCTGACTTTGAAGTCCACCGATAGTCTGTCATTTAGTATGTTCAAAGGCACCTACCAATTGAGAACTATCCAGGCATATACCCTGTAGTACCTCATGTACTCGATATTCATATTTCAGAAGAGATTTTCCATAAAGCATCTTGCTTCTGTCGTGTGAATCTCTCTTTGATGCAGAGACAATAAACTCAAATTAAAGAGAATTGATGTAAACAACCTGCAACTGAAGATATATACTTTATATATAAACATTGCATCATAAAATTGCTATTATTCTTTGTATGTTTGGCCAGTACAAGAAAAAATTGTAGTACCTTTTAAGCACAAAAAACTTGTGTGACAGGTGGTCATCTTTGGAGAGGAGATTGGAAATAAGAATGTTGTAGAGCGTCATCAACACTCATTCGATCCTCCTAGAATTTAAATCCATTTAAAACCACATCATATTCAATATTTATCTATTTGCACATAAAACTCAGCTGAATAGCATTTTCTTTAACTCAAAATCCAATACGGACATAACAAAATTAATAGTTGACATAAGTTAGACCATTTAATTTGGAATACCAAGGCAGTAAATTAATATACTCAAAACAACTGCAAAGATTCCTAAATTCTAATTGGTAGTCCAAACTTTGAACAGTGAGGATGACAAGGCTAAAAAATTGTGTAACCAAATAGGAGGGAAGCTAGGGAAACAAAAGGTAACTGAGCTAGATATGTAATGCACACGTGTGATTGCACTTAGTTAAGTCGGCTCAGTTTACACTTCCAAAAGGTAAAAAGAAAGGCAAAGTGAGACATAACTTTGAAAAGGTGTAAAGAAAGGCCAAATGAGGGACATAGGTAGCGCGCCAATGACAAGCTTTAACTATTGAACTAACTAATAGGTGGATTAGGGGGAAAACTTAAAGGGGTTTATGAGAACCTTAAATCAATAATGTTGTCATTGCTGCATTATGTACAGCACCAAAAGATTGCGCACAGTTGAATAAAGTAAAAAACGACCTTGGAAATACCCCCATTATGGTCACGAACCACAATCCCTCCCGCAGCAGTCATTTGACACATTATCAAAAGCTGCATCAAAATGAAATTCGAAATAACCATAGTCTGGAGGTCTCTGCTTTGACAATTGACAGTCATCAGCAAAAAGAAGTCAAACCCCCAAATCAATGAATTGATAGATTACCCCTGGATCAGCTGTAAAATTCCTAGCACAATACCTCACCATACAAACTGGTGAAATAGATGCAGAGTCCTATCGAGGCACCTAAATTCTAAGATGCACAAGCACAGCTTTATGTTTCAAACATTCAAGAATGAGCGACTATTGACTCAAATATTCATGAGAAAACACCAAAGATTCTAACAGAACTTGTTACAGATCAAACTGGCTCGATGCTGCTTAAATATGTCAATCTAAATACGCATGTGGGAAACACACATATATACCCCAAGGAAAAAATGTAAAATTTATCTCCTAATATTGGGTGAAAATGAATGGTTCACGTCCCATATAACCTTCAAATATAATAAACACAACTCTGTTAAAACAACCTCCAAATATTCAAATTTCTAAACGATAAAGTATGGATCTGTTTTAGCATTCTTTTAAGCATCCTAAGCAAAAATTTAGCATTGGAAAGGTCTAGAAATTAAAAAATTTGCACACTAAAATTTCAAAATTCTCTCTGATGAACAGATAAGAACTACTAAAAAATTTTATACGACAGTAAGAAGCCACCAAAGCAACCGGCTGTTACATCAGCATCTTTTATTGGTAGACTGTCTGGACCAAGGAGGGAAGAGGATGTCCACAGGGATCCCTGTGAGCTGGTGATAATTTAAAGAGTATGAGTTCTCCATTTACATGAATTGGGTGTTCTTAGCAAGGTTGTTAGAATCGGGATTCTAGATAGGATCGATGAGGGCTCCATAGGATCGGAATCTTAGGATTGGATCGAGAATCTTAAGATTCTATGAAACTATTAGAAAAGTAACCCAAACTAACTTTCTAAATCAAATATTTTTGATATAAGTAGAGAATAAGGCTAAATAATCAATTCAGACACACTAGCAAAATTAATTAACATTAAAAGTACCAAGACACATGACAAACACTAAATATCAGTTTCTTGATTTCAACAAAAAAATTCAGCATAACAATCAAACAAAATCTCAGAGAAGAAATTAAAGTAAATCCTAGTGTAGAGAGAAAAGTACAATTTAGTTGCCTAATTGTTTGAGCAATTTAGTTGAAAAGTTTACTTTTTGGTTAAAAAAAAGGAACAAAAGAAAGAAAAACGAAAAAAAAAAAAAATGAAGTCTTTCTTAATTTTAGTTTTTTTTTTTTTTGGAAAGTTTCTTAATTTTAGTTTCAGAATTGACAAAGAATAGGTGGTAAAATAGAATTCTTTATGTTCCCTGTGCTGAAAAAGAAAGAAGAAAAGAGAAATTAAGAAGAATAAAACAAAATATAGGAAATTTTTTAAATTTTAAACTATACCTTTGAAATTCTGAGTTGATCGTCTCTACATTTGACGTTCGTTTCTTTATTATTATTATTATTATTATTATTATTATTTTTTTTTTTTTTTTTTTTTTTTTTTTTTTTTTTTTTTAATGTAAGTAGGCTAAAGAGTTGGACTTTATATTTAAAATTATCAAATTTATTAGTCCAAAATTAATTGTAAGCCCAAATAAATTCGGAAGAAGAACAAAATAACATGATTTAGTAGAATTGGAAGGATCGTAAGATTTTACGATCCTACTTCCGATCTATAGATCCTACTGAGATTCAACTTCCCAAGGAATTTAGATGGGATCGGAATCGTTATGGCAATTTGGGATCGTAGAACCGTAAGATTCTAAGAGTCAGAATCGGGATTTTAACAACTGTGGTTCTTAGTGTTTTTAGATAGATATGTTTTTGCAATGCCAAAACTTGACCCAAACATGGACAGAAAGCTGTTTTAATGCCAAATACAAAATTAGCAGTCAAGGAAAGTTCAGCTCAGGTCACGGGTGCATTAGTAAACTATAAGAAACTATCTAACAGTTAATCATGACAACCGCCTACCATCTCACTCAAAGACCATATTCCAGGGTAAAACTATATACTTTTTTTCCTAGCTTTTTAGGGGGAAAACATCAACACTTGGAACTGAGTTGTGCTATTGAGGACAATAAGTCAGTAACATTATCAACAAATGCAGTAAATAGTTAGATGGGTCCAACACCATAGCACTGACGCGGGGATGCTAACAAAAAAAGGGGGCAAACCAGAAATTTCACATGGATCGCATTATGTACCTTGTGTTATCAAGAATTTGCGAGGAATAAGTCAGTAACATTATCGAAAAATACAGTGAATGGTTAGATGGGTCCAACACCATAGCACTGACGCGGAAATGTTAGCAAGAAAAAGGGGCAAACCAGAAATTTCACATGGATTGCATTCTGCACCTTGTGTTATCAAGAATAAGTATAAGAGAGAAGTTCATTGAAACATGCTATCTTTTAAGGCCAACAGAGAAAAAAAATGGAGCATGTTAGACAACTCTATAAGTTCATTTTGAGTATCAATGTCGACACCTTTTGCATTATTTTCATATATCAATGCAATTTTTAGTAGGAATTGAAGGGGTCAGGTGTGCTAGATGGCAAGACTAGGGTTTTATCATGAATTTCAAAAGTAGTATTTATCACAAAATTTTAGCTGCACGCTGAAAGGAACTGCAAGAACTAATCTCTTGCAAGAACAATAATTATCAGAAGAAATTCAAGCACAAAATTTTATAAGAACCAACAGCAGCAAACTATCTAATGGTATCTTATTTTGCTTGAACTAACCTTTTCCAATAATGATATTGATTAAGATGATCCAACATCTATTCAAAATGGTTGGAGTAAATTTGTGGTTCACACCAGCCAAATAAAATTGTAATGACATCCACAATTAATAATTAAAATTTAAATCATAGAACTGCGTAATTTCGTAACTTACTGGATCCCAAAGTAATAATTGGCGCACTAATCGCAATGCCCTAACATTTGGAAACCTGTAAAATTTGAGAAAATAAGAATTGCAAAGGGAATGCTAGGATTAGGGTACTACAAAAGCAATAAATTATAAAAATGTACTTAATATAGAATAATGTATGATCATACAAACTAACCCTATATTCAGAGGATCTCTACTCTTTATTTGATGGGAAAAGAACTCTTCAGAGCATTTCCAGGAAGCTGGTGAAGCTTCACCCTGGTTCCAAAGCAATGACAATTGGATTGGTAGGTATATGTGAAAGCCAATAGCATATGTAAATATCTCTTTATTATTAAAGTGTGATTCATTAGACAATTCGGACATCTGAAGATCCACTTTCAGTATATTTTTTAACTTGTATGTGTTTGTATAAATAATACAATTTTGCATGATGTTCAACAATGTCATTCTTCATTCTAGGTAAATGTCACCCACACATTTCTAAAAACTCAATATATGTTATGTTACTTAATTCAACATATCATTAAGAATTACTGTCTCTGGTATATATTTTACAGGCACTGCATTCTGCATGTCTGAGCCCTCACCGTGCACAGATTAGCAGACATTTCAGTTCCCATTCCATTCCTTATTTTTTAAATTATGGATAAAATTAAGAAGAAAGAAAAACTCAAACTCTTAAAAGTTATTAAAAAAAATTTCATTTCCTTTCCACACACAAAATTGTGTGCTTGAATCTTCGTTGCTATATTCTAAAAGAAACACACACACACATATATGATCTATTTTTCGTATTATTGCCAAAATATCCATATCAATCAGAGAGGAAGCCCCTAAGTTTATGACTATGAATATATACGATGAAGATCATAAATCATAGGATACCAGCAAGTTTAAATTTGTCCTCCAAGTATCTTGCACCATATGTAGTTCCATAATTACAAGTGTGACAATCCGTTAATGCCCTCTTAATATTACGACCACAATATTTTCTTAGAAGTGCACCATAACAGGACCACATTGTAACATATAAAATTCACCAATCTTAGGTAATTGGAAGCCCATTATTACTAACTATATGTTGCCCCATATGCACTTCAAGATTTTTAAGAAATGTATACACTGCAGTGCAAACCAAGAAACTTGAAATGCCTGAATAATTCTTTCTGGTATTAATTACCATAATAACAAGGTGATATATGCATGGCCTTAAACCATTTATAACTAGTACATAGATTTATACAACAGCTATCTTATATTTGTTCTACCTTTATGAAAATGATTTTAATTGTTGGCATTGATAAGAGGAAAAGCAACTTCATATGGTGAAGTAATATCTATGGTCTTTTTAACTTCAACTCTCTAGAGCCAATTTAAGGATTATATCAGAAGAGCAATAGCTGAACTGGATAAAATGTGATATGGTAGAGCAACGCCTTAACATATGTATTAAGCTATATGATCATAATATATGTTGTAGACTATCATATTAACCTTGTGTATTTGTTCTAATGTGCACTTGTAATTATCTTTGAACTTTTATGAACTATTGGAATACATTACATCCTATTGGCAAACATCGAGTAAGACCAGCACGACCTAGTTAGGGATGGCAACGGGTCGGGTTTCCCAAACCCTAGCCCGCCCCATCTACAAAAGGCTGTCCCAAACCTGGGACGGGTTTTCCTCTCACAACCCATCCCCGATTATAAATAGGGGAGACTTAACCCCATCCCCACTCCAACGTGAAAAATGCACCAACAAAAAAATAGCAATGAGAAATTCACAAAAAAAAAAATAAAAAAAAATAATATAGCAATGAAGATTCAAGCACACACAATCTTCATAATTTCAAATTGGAAAAGAAGAACAGAACATAAAAGAGAGAATAATTACACAATCATAGATGCTCTGTAACATCAACACAAAAAAACTCAACAGAGAGAGAGAGAGAGAGAGAGAGAGAGAAACAATTGCAAATCATCTGGTCCCATGGTTGACGGTGTGAGAACCTGAGATTGTTAGAGAGACAGAGAAGTGGTGACAAATGGTTGCCAATCGTCTGAGGTTGAGCAGTATATGTATATATATATATATAAGGATAATTTTAGTGATTTCTAATAAGAATAAGGGTAAAACTGTAGTATAGTAATATAATCGGGCTGGGTTTGGGGTGGGTTGTACAAAAATCCAAATCTGACTTGGGTTCTAATTTTTTATCCAATGCCCGCTTCTAGGGAACAAAAAAGGCTTCCCATACCCGTCCCATTAGGGGCAGGGCAGGGCGGAAGAAATTGTCGTCCTTAGACCTAGTAGGAAATGGAGCCACAGGTACGGGGACCAAGTTGAATGAATAACCATGCTTGTCAGTGACGACTGACGAGAGAATTTATTCATACCCAATTCATTTGCTAATTGAACAGGAGGAAGTAATCTAGATTCTAGAACTGCCTCAGATAGGAAAGTTCATGTAACACTCCAGTTTTTTCCCAGAAAGAAATATGGAGCATAAAGAAGGAATAAGGCACCAAAATATAGGAGCATAAAGAAGGAATAAGGCTCCAAAATATAGGAGCAAAATTGCAGAAAGATGCAATTAACAGGCCACAAGAAATTCCATATTAGCAACTGTATAAACCTGTCGTATCATGCAACACTGATAATAATTTAAATATAACTATATGCATTGCCTATACAGGTATAAAATGGATAACAGAAAAGAAAGCCGCAGTGCTTCTAGATACATCTAACCATATACAGTAGTAAAATCAGTAAGACAGAAAATTCACCTGGTACTTTGGATGATGTTTTGAGGAACTCCCAGGGATTAATATGCACATTTCCATGAATGATCTAAGTCTGGCACAATAAAACATAACAAGTTATCAATCTTTAGTACCAACCTCAAAGAAGGCATGCAAGATGTTTAATCCATTTACCTCAAATTAATAAAATTCACGCCATGATATTTGTCAAAGTTGTAGTTCCACAGACGCAATTTTCACATCACAATAGACATCTTCTCCTATCCATTTTCAGGGATGTAATATTTACACTCCACTTTTATATTTTTGCACTCTACTTCTTTTTAATAAAATAGACATAATGACCCTCAAAGTGGAGCGAAAGATTACCTTCTGGCATAATTGTGCCATTTCCTTTAAATAGTAATAATAATAAAAAAGAAAAAAACAAAATAAAAACAAGAAAGTAGAGCATGGAAGTGGATTTGGATAAAAAAAGGTTCTGGATTAATCAAAATTGCCATGGTATTAGAGCAAATAGGTTCCGAATTCGGATCTCAACACTTCCCTGATAATGCAACCATAGACTACTCACGAGGGGGAGTCTCACTGCAATTGAGGGAATGTGGTGATAATATAAATAATTAAAATACACCGGACCATGCCAACTAAAAGCTTTAAATTTTGTTGTGCACAAAAGAAAAAGAAAAAAAGAGAACCTTTTAGAGTAGTCAATTGTTAATAAGGATTTCTAAATTCCTTTGAATGTTGCCATGGATGAACCGATGGCAAAATGTTCCACATAGTCTATTTCAACACTACACTAGCTAAAGATATAAATCACCAAATAGATCTTAAAATTTCCAAATTCAGTTGCCAGTGTTCACCTGCTAAGACAATGCCTCACTGAAATTTATCTTTCAACAAGAGTTACCATAACATAAAGTTGTTTTCGCCTAAACGTAGTAATTAACTTGGACAGTTTTTACAAGGAAAAATCTACAATCCTTGAACTTATTATCAATACTCGCCCATTATACAAATGCCTCACTGGAATTTGTAAATGTTTTCAACATGATATGCCATATCATTATTTATAAATCGTTTAGCCCCAAAATAGTAGCTAACTTGGACAAATTTAAAAAGGACTATTCTACAAAGCCTTGGAGAAATATCATAAGCTTTCTGAGAAAAGTAGCTGTAAGAACCGCCATGTGCCAATATAACTTTGGCACATTCATACCACTTAAAAGACATCGAATAACTAACATTAGTTGACGGTTTTTACGCTCTGCCACACCATTTTGTTCAGGGGTATATGGACAAGTAAGTTGATGAAGAATATCCTGTTGGTTCAGTTGAGACCGAAACTCATTGGAAACATATTCAGGACCATTGTCAGACCTAATATTCTTATTCTTAACAACAATTTTAAATTGAGTTTAGTAGAAATATATAAAAAGAAGAGAAAAGAGAGAATTGCGTAAAGGATTGAATGAGATGAATTACCCATTCACAGCTCTAGTATTTATAGATAAAATGAGCGCATGCTCATATTACAAAAAAGGAAACTAAATCAAATCAAAATCAAATCACAACTTATTCTAAAGCATATTCTATGGCATATTCTATAGCATAGTCAAATCTCTGCTATTATGGTAAGTCATACCATAAATCGTGGTATCATATATATGCTATTATATGCATAGTCAAATCTCTGCTATTATGGTAAGTTATACCATAAATCGTGGTATCATAAATGCTAACACTCCCCCTCAAGTTGGTGCGTGGATATCTGAAACGCCCAACTTGGACAATGCATTCTCAAACACAATCTTGCTGACGCCAGCTGCTAAGAGCTTATGACAAATGGAGTGCAAATTTGACCAGAGATGATCTTCTCTCAAATGAAGTGACGGTCCACCTCTATATGCTTAGTCCTGTCATGCTGAACGGGATTTGCTGCTATGCTAATGGCAGACTTGTTGTCGCAGTAGAGTGAGAATGGAAGCGACACTGGAAGGCACAAGTTTGTCGTCAAGGTTTTCAGCCAAAGCAACTCACCTACGCAAGAGCCATAGCCCTATACTCTGCCTCTGCACTAGATCGAGAGACAACATCCTGCTTCTTACTGCGCCAAATAACCAAGTTACCACCAATAGTGATACAATAACCTGAAGTAGACCTCCTATCTGAAATTGATCCTGCATAATCAGCATCTGTCCAAGCCTCAACACATAAGTGACCATGATTAGCAAACAAAATATCATGGCCTGGACACCCTTTTAAGTAGTGAAGAATCCGAATAGCTGCATCAAGGTGTGGGGCACGAGGAGAGTGCATGAATTGACTCACGACACTCACGGCATAAGCAATGTCAGGTCAAGTCATGGATAAATAGTTGAACTTCCCCACAAGTCATTGATACTGACCAATATCTGATAACAACCTCAGAATCAGCCAACCGATGATTCTGCTCAATCGGAGTATCAGCAGGACGAGCGCCAAGCTGACCAGAAGCAGAAAGCAAGTCAAGAACATACTTGCGTTGAGAGATGAAAATGCCAGTCTTGGAGCGAGCCACCTCAATGCCCAAGAAGTATCGTAGGGGACCAAGATCCTTAATCTCAAACTAATGGCCAAGATAGCTCTTAACCTCATTAATTCCAGTAATATCATCGCCGGTAAGAATAATATCATCGACATACACAATGAGAGCAACTGTCTTACCGCCTAAATGACGTAAAAACAAGGTATGATCAGCTGCACTTTGATGGAAACCAAACTTAAGCATTGCAGTGCCAAAGTGATCAGACCAAGCTCGAGGGGACTGCTTGAGGCCATATAAAGAACGACGAAGACGACATACCATACCAGAATGAGCAACCAATATCTGACAACAACCTCAGAATCAGCCAACCGATGATTCTACTCAATCGGAGTATCAGCAGGACGAGCGCCAAGCTGGACCAGAAGCAGAAAGCAAGTCAAGAACATACTTGCGTTGAGAGATGAAAATGCCAGTCTTGGAGTGAGCCACCTCAATGCCCAAGAAGTATCGTAGAGGACCAAGATCCTTAATCTCAAACTAACGGCCAAGATAGCTCTTAACCTCATTAATTCCGGTAATATCATCGCCGGTAAGAATAATATCATCGACATACACAATGAGAGCAACTGTCTTACCGTCTAAATGACGTAAAAACAAGGTATGATCAGCTGCACTTTGATGGAAACCAAACTTAAGCATTGCAGTGCCAAAGTGATCAGACCAAGCTCGAGGGGACTGCTTGAGGCCATATAGAGAACGATGAAGACGACATACCATACCAGAATGAGCAGGAGAACGAAAGCCCGGAGGAGGAACCATGTACACCTCCTCCTGCAAATCACCATTAAGAAAGGCATTCTTGACATCTAACTGAAATAGAGGCCAAGATCGAATTGCAGCAACGGAAAATAATACACGGATGGTATTCATCTTGGCGACAGGGACAACAGTCTCTTGATAATCTGTGCCATAAGTCTGAGCATAACCCTTGGCAACCAATCGGGCCTTGTAACGAGCAACTGACCCATCTGGATTATGCTTAACTATAAACACCCAACGACAACCCACAACCTTTCGTCCAATAGGAAGCGGAACCATGTCCCAAGTCTGATTTTTCTCAAGTGCTTGTAGTTCTTCTGTCATAGCATCACCCCATTGAGGTTGTGCTAGCGCATCTGCAACACTGGAAGGAACGGGAACCGAGGCAACAGAAACAAGAAAACTCAGATAGGAGGGTAAGAGAGCATAATCAGAAACAAAATTAGAAATAGGGCAAGTACAAGAACGTTTATCCTTTCGAAGAGCAATAGGGCGATCATCAAGCGAAACAATAGCTTGAGAAGGCGGAGCTGGTGCCGAAGGAACAGGGCACCCGATCTTGGGAGTAGAAGCTTGTACCTGTTCTCTCCGATTATAAACCTGTGAAAAAGGAACAATTCCCCCTGCTGGAGGGATATCACGAGGAAGAATTATAGAAGAAGAAACAGGTAATGGTAGAGGAGTTGAAGACGGAAGAAGGTGATCATCCATTATATTCAATGGGAACCATTCACTCTGAGAACCAATTGAACCACTATAGTATGGTGTATGCTCAAAGAAAGAAACATCCATGGATATAAACCGCCGACGACTGGGAGGATGGTAACACCTATAACCTTTTTGAGAGTGAGAATAGCCCAAAAACACACACTTCAAAGCCTTGGGGTCAAGCTTTGTACGAGTTTGCCCCAACTGCTGAACAAAGCACACACACCCGAAGACTCGTGGAGGAATCAAAAATAGAGATGAATTAGGATGTAAGACTGAGAGTGGGGCTGCAAAGTTAAGAATCCTTGAAGGAGTCCTATTAATGATGTAAACAGCGGTAAGAACTGCATCTCCCCAAAATGACTGGGGAACATTCATGACAATGCAGATTGCTCTGGCTAAGTCAAGGATGTGGCGATTCTTTCTCTCAAAACGACCATTCTGTTGAGGAGTTTTAACATTAGCCAGCTGATGCGCAATCCCAAATTCTGAACATAACCGTTGTACCTCCCCATAAGTGTACTCTGTACCCTGGTCAGATCGGAATTTTTTAATGGTACGACCATATTAAGTCCGAACCATTGTCATAAAATTTTTAAAAATGGTGTATACCTCATTTTTGGTTTTCATAAGATAAACCCAAGTAATAGGACTATGATCATCAACGAACAACACGAAATATCGAAATCCAAGACTAAAAGTAACTGGTCAAGGACCCCACACATCTGAATGAACAAGATCAAAAGGTGTTAAAGCAGATTTATTACTACTAGCAGGATAATTGGAACAAACATGTTTAGCCATATAACATGTTTCACAGGATAAATCTGACACTGCCACGTTACAAAATAAGGAAGGAAATAAATGTTTCAAATAACCAAAAGAAATATGTCCTAAACGCATGTGCCAACGCATAAGCTGGGCTTTATTAGATGAAACAATATTAGAAAATGAAGCTGAATGTGCTTGCGGTGACAATGAAGCATCCAACAGGTATAAACCGTCCACTTCACGCCCACTGCCAATCGTCCGTTTCG